TTGGTGGATGAATGGAATTGCTAATATATAGAATCGGGTAAAAACAGGGATCTCGTGATAAGGTGTTTCTCTTACTGTCAGCTATCAAATAGAGACAGTAAGGATGCTTGTTATACAAAGTAATCAGTCGAGCCCGAGAGTAAAACTGGTAACAACCAGAATGTAAAGGAGCGATAAAGAGATAGATGGGAAAACGGCATACGTGGATGGTGGAGTGAATGGATGAGTGTGTCCTGGATATATGGGTGGGTAGATAATGGATGGAATGATGGATGACTGTATTAGTGGATGAATGGAATGGTAAATGGATGGATTGACCAAATATGAAATGAGGTAAAATCATGGGTCTAGTAACACAGTGCTTCCCTCTTACTATCAGCTATCAAATAGAGACAGTAAGGGTGATTGATTTGTATACAAAGTATTAGTCGAACCCAAGTGCAAAGCTGGTAACAGCCAGAATGTAAAGGAGCGATGGAGGGATAGATGGGAAAACAGCATGTGTGGATTGTGGAGTGAATGGATGAGTGTGTCCTGGATAGATGGGTGGGTAGATGAATGGATGGAATGGTGGATGACTGTATTTTTGGATGAATGGAATGGCAGATGGATGGATGAATCAATCAAATATGAAATGATGTAAAAACATGAGTCTAGTAACACAGTGCTTCTCTCTTACTGTCAGCTATCAAATAGAGACTGGCTGACTGACTTTCTACCCCACTAGGACATCACGCAAGCGATAAACACCCGATGACACAAAGTGCCACCATGTGGGTGAGGATCACCGTGGAGAGGTCCCAGAAACCGCGTTCAGACAATATTGCCATATTTATGGCGTGCCTATATTGCGGCCCCTGGCAAAAGCCAGGGTGGGGCTTTAAATAACAAAAAAATTAGGTCCTAAAAAGGACGTGAGGATAGATATATCATCAAATAGAGACAGTAAGGGTGATTTTTATACAAAGTATTAGTCGAACCCAAGTACAAAGCTTGTAACAGCCAGAATGCAAAGGAGCGATGGAG